GCCGGGACCCCATCGTCATTGAGATTTGTGAAGCCCATCTTGATGAGAAAGTTCAAGAAATAAAGGCGAAGGTTGTCCAAAATCGCGTGAGGCATTGGGGCCGTGATTCCATGCTCGACCTTTTGTTTGAGCAGACTCGCACCAACCTCCATCAAGGAGAGAGCATTCGCAAGCGTAACGTGAGGGCCCGAGCGATAGGCAGTGAACGCTGCAGTTGGACCAAATATTAACAGATTCGCAAGCATCTGGACGTGTTGAAGGTGGTGCTTGGTGCGGTACACATTATTTTTCCCTTGTTTTGGTTTTGCAACGCAACCCCCAGACAGGTAGGCCAAACCAGCCAGTGCACCGACGAAATACTGGATTAATGACATCACGCCAGATTCTGACGCGGAGGGGTCGCCCAACTTGCCGCCTATGTTCTCGTAAGCCCCACAGAGATGGTAGTACGCCGTATGCACGTTGTTATTATCGTCAAAGGCCTGAGGGATCCAGGTGTCTTTCATCTGTGTCATATTCTGCATCGCCCAAGTGTGTTGTAATGCGGCTCGCAGTCGAATATATGCGGATCTACCAGGGGCAAAAAAACTGGCCAAGTGCGGTAGTAGAGTGTGGTTGCCGGTGACCCTCTCCGTCATTTGAAAACCTCTGATTTGATCCATATCAACCATGTCGGACGTGATGAGGGACAAATTCCCCGCGGTGTTGAGTATATCCTCTGATGAAAAAAGCCATAGACAAACATTAGACATGAAACCACACAAACCCCATGCCCCAAGAATACCACATACCTAATTCACAAGCCCTCGAGGTTACATCTATGTCCTTCCAAACCCGCTGACTTTGTTCTTTAGGGATTGCGTCGTGTGAAGAAATCAGGGGAGGCAAATTCTCCAGTATATACTTGAGATTTGAAAGGGCCGATTGAGCTGATCGGTGTGTCCATTTGATGCCTCCTGAGAGCTCAGTGTTCCAGCGATTGACCTCCTCTGAAGGTAAAACTAGACTAGGGACAAAGAGTTCCACAGCTACGGAACAATATAGACCCACATCAGTACATGAAAATATATGAACCATCCATTCAGATGCACTTACAAGGAGCGCGTGCGGATTGTGTCCCACCTGGGGCTTCACCACCAGCCCCCCTTCTACTTGGACTCGGCCGACTGGCCGACTGGCTCCTGCTCCCCTCCGCCGGGTTTCCAGGAATGTTCTGGCTCGGGTTCCGAGGAATGTTCATCCTGCTCAACATCTCCCAAGAAGAAAACTCGTCCAACAAAGGGTGAACACGCGGGCCGGTGTCACGGTGTGGGCCTTGCCTGAATGGGGCCGGGCGACCAATTCCATGGTCGAGAACGTCTGGAACTGGGCGAGGTTGTTCTTTTGAGACGTATTCTTCATCGGTAGAACCCTCTGCGTCCGTGTTGCCTTCAGAGTCTTCAATCCTAGTTCTAGTAGAATGCCTGGGAGCTCCTCCCACAACGCCATCGTCATCAGAGTCGTCAATCCTCGTCTTTTTGGCACGCGCAGGGTCGTTATCTTCAACACCCTCTAGTCTAACATTGTCAAAGCGGTACTTTGGGCGCCTCTCTTGTCGCTCGTGAATGACCTCTCGACGCTGCGTCTGGTGTTTCGGTGGGGCCGGCTCCACTTGTTTATTGATTGAAGGGGTGGGCACCGGTGGGGCTGGAATATTCTGAGGCGGTAGCTGTTCCTTGTTGACTGAGGCCATAATTGAATCGTATAATTGATCCCCATCAGCTGTCAAGAAAGAGGTCTCTCCATTGGCATTCTTTCGGCGAGGCGGGTCATCAGAGATGTATGCATAGGCCGGGTTGAGCACGTTTGGTAAGCCATTGTCCCCAACCGATGGGGGATCAACCCTTGAGAAATTGGAAAACGAGGGACATGCGGTGTGGAACTGCTCAAGCTAATGAGTGAAGAGCTTGGAGGGGATAAATATTAATAAAACTATAAAATAGTAATAATAATAAATGGGTGTTGGTGAGACTGCCCTCCTTGTCTAGCTAGTGAGAGAGTTGCACTAAGAAAAATAATAGTGTGGTAGATTTCTAAAATTTATCTTAGTGAAGGTACTACCTGTTGAGAATGTTGAGTTGTTTATAAGGGTGGATGGAATGGATGGTCAAGAGCTTCTGGAGTTAGGAGATATCTGAGGGTTTCAGGTTTATTCTGGTTTAATCTATTCTTTCTGGGTTCTCTGATTCAATTCTGGGTCTTTAATAAAGTGAGTCTTTATTTCTTCAATATCTTCTGTTGAGAGATGGAGGTGAGTTAAATAATTTCCTTATTATTTAACAGGGTTCAATATAAGGGTGAGGAGTGAGGGTTTAGTAAATTCTTTTATTACTATTCTGTATCTGTATTATAAGGGTTGATGAAAGCTAAGTAATATCTCTAATTACTATTCTGTAGCTAGCATGTAAGGGGGTTGATGAATGCTAAATAAGATCTCTACTTATTTCTCTGATGCAGACATGGGGAGGAAGGAAGGAAAACATGAGCCAGGAGGGCCTCTATTTATAGACAAAATCTTTGGTGGGATGGTAAACAGCTTCACTGATGAGAATGATTGGTCTGACTGGGTAATGACCTCATACTGCTAATTTAATGATGTCATGATGATGTCATGCTATGAAATTAATGATTTACAGCTGTGAAATTAATGATGTGCAGCTGTGGAATTGATGATGTACTGTTGTGAAATCAATATTCTGCTGCTATGTTTATTAATGATGTCATCTGTGTGATTAATGATCTTCATGTTGTGAAATTAATGATGAGTGGCTGTGTAATTAATTAATAATGATCTACTTAATTAATTAATATGATCTTCTGGATGATTTTATGATTGGTTGTTATGTTATTCTGTTCCCTCCTGAATGGTTTTTAGCTTTATAACATTATATTATTTCTAATTCCTTGTTGACCATTCTTGTTATGTTGTAAGATCTGTCTTGTAATTATATATATACCTTTTAATCTTCCTTATATATTTTATACCTCTAGTCTGTGAAGTGTAATTATATATGAAATAAATTATCAAGAAAATTAACTATGATTTGAGAATAAAAGGCTTTATCATGACTATTTGATATTATTACCTGATTTCTTGAGTTTATATTTACTATTTTAATCCTTTAAATTTGTCTTTTAAGGTTTTATGGGTTTGATTGGTCTTACCACAGCGGTGCGAGGGGGGCCGATCGGATTTGGCAATGCAAAATAGTCGCCCTCCCGATGGATGTCACGGGTCGGCGTTGGACAATTGAAGGGGGTCGATCAGAGGGTGTCGTTGATCGAAGGGAGTGATCGGGAGCAGGAAGCCTTGTCGCATCATCTCTGATGTCATGAGCCGCACCAGCACCAGCCAAATTGTCCGCCGAGAAGGGTGGAACCTTGGAAATGTCTCTACTTTCGAGCTCTTCTTCACCCTTGTCATCCGAATTCTCAATATCTGCCTTGATAAGTGCCAAGAGGGATTTCACGTGCGCCTGCTCTTTAGGTTTCAATGCCGGGTGACTATCCAGCTCCTGCACCTTCATGTAGAGGTCCAAGCCTGTGGAAACAGATAATGCAAAGTGTCTTAGCTGGGGTGGATGACCAGTGGGCCAGATTCAAATGAAAAGCGAATCTTACGTGATTGATCATTCCCGGTTGACATATCCAGGTTGAGAGTGGGGGTTGAAGGTCTTAGGGGTGGCGGTCGGCTGGTCTGAAACGGTGATCAAACAAATAAGTCAGCTTTATCCAAAAATTGCAGGCACATTGGGTGGTTACGCCTAGGGTCGACTGAGAGGAGTGGGGGCAAATGGGGGCCCTTCAGTTGCATAGGGCCTTGGGCCTCTCCACATGGCTGGATATCTGGCCAGGGGGCTTAAATTGGCCGATTTGGTGGCTCTTAGGTTCCTGGGGGACCCCCTTGGGCCCCCCTGTCGGGCGGCGATCTTGCAACCAGGCGTTGGGCACCCCAGGAGGGCAAGATACATTGCAACCAGGCTGAATTTGGCCCCTCTAGGGGGCTTGAGCCCCCAAAAAAACGAAAAACCTAATATTTGACCCCTTTAGGGGGATGGAAACCCAAAAAAAATTAATCCTTACAATTTTTCACCCCAGGTACCAATTTTTGGGTGCCGGATCAGATCGGATCGGATCGGATCGGTTCGGATCGGTCCGGATCAGCTTGAAAACGGGCGTGCGTGGATTCTCCTGCTTCGAACGGGTTTCGGGGGGTCTGGGGTCCGGTCGGGTCGGTCGGCGAGTGGGATAGGGCACGTGGAGTCCGGCGGGGTCTCGTATGCGAATCGGTCGGTCGGAGTGAGGTGGTGGTTAAGGCTAGGATTGGAAGGGGGGAGGGGAGGAATCGAAGGCGAGGAACCCAGCAGGCGGGGCTGGACCCAAACCCCGCCCTCGGGGGGAAGAGTCAGCGCGTAGGACCCAGGCCTGGGTCCTACGCGGATATTCAAGGCCGCCGCTCATGGTTTTAACCTTGATCGATGGCCGGTCAAGGTTCTAACCTTGATCGGTCATCGATCAAGGTTAAAACCTTGAGCGATGTGCCCCAGGCCAACCCATACGACCCAGGTTTGGGTCGTATGGGTTGGCCTGGGGCCTAAACGCATATGTATATGCGTTTAGGCCCCTGCAGCTTTGGCGTGCGGCCTCACACGCCAAACACCTTTGGCGTGCAGGCCAGCACGCGAATTCAATATCCGCGTACGACCACGGGCAATTCCAGCACGTTAACCCTTCAGCTCTGCAAGATAACCCTAGGGGTTTGCAGACCAACCTGCAGGGATATACCCTGCAGGTCATTGGCGTGCCGCCCCGCACGCCAATTTTCGTTGGCGTGCAGGCGCGCACGCCAATCTGCAGCTGGCGTGCGGATTGGCGTGCGCGAGGGGGGTTGGCTTGCGCTTATCAACCCCCATGAAGAATACCTCATGTGTTTATTGTTTCTTCTCATGAGTGATTGTGAGTTAGGACTCGGCCGCACGGGCATCAGGAGCCATAAAGCAGTAATCTCTGGGAGTAGATGAAGGCGGGTTGAGGAAATACCTATATCATAAGGTAGAGTTTCAGAACATTTTAGATGGCTGGAATTCCCTTCTTGGCAGTTTTTTCATAACTCACGTAGGAAAATTGATTCTGTGACCATCACCTCCTTGAAAGACTATGGCCAAGAAAAAGACTACCAGTTCCGTTCCCCCGTCGAGAGCAGCTGATAAAATGTAGTTGTATTTGCGGAACCTGTATTGTTCATTCAATGCACAACGGTCGGGAAACAGGGCTATGAGTTGTTTTTTGGGATACAAATAGATCAAACTGTGCCAGCTACCATCGTGTTCGATATTTCCGCGCCCAGAATTGTGACATCAGTCCTATGATGATACGCATAGGTTCTCCTGCGGAGGCCACTTGAAAAGAAAAGAAAAACATTAACACGAATTGTAGCTTCAGTTATCAGAAAGCTTACAGTTATAGAGACCAGTCGTGATTCCAAGGAGTAGCGGCACGTTGAACAGATTGAACTTTTATCGCGGCCAAAACTTATGTGCAACAAAAAACGGGATAGGAAGGAAGATGCCAACTACAATTCCCCAACTGACTGTTGACTTAGTTCCTCAATCCACGTGAGAATTGCGACCGGCCATAACCTATCTCAGTCACGCTATTTCAAGACGTTCGGAGGATGTATCCTTATTGATTTGGGAGAAAGATTAGACTTTACATATTTTTGGCCAAAGAGGAACAGTCTCCTGGAAAATATGCCCCAGCTACATAAATCAAACCATGATTAGTATTTTATATCGATTGATGCACCTTGCTGAGTGGAAGCTTTTCAATTAGTTGGATCAAAAGAATACATCACAAACCTGATAGCGCGAGCTTGAGAAGCAGCAGTTTCAGCTCCAGAGAACACGCCATTGCCGTGAGCGGAGATCAGTACATCACGCTCGTTCTTTAGGATTGCTTTCATGACAATAACAGTAGCCAATGCACCGACTCCTCCACCAATTGATTGGGAATAAACCACAATATATTGTGGCAGGTGGACATATTGCCCAAACTTTAGATCTCGGAGGATACTCATGGCCTGCATGGCACTTCCCGCACCGTACGCTGTGAACCAAATGTTTTGAAATACACGGCCTGGAAACATAAGACCCCCAAGCATTTGAATTCCAGATGTGAGCCTTACTTGGAAACCGGTGACTGCACTGATAAAACCACCCGCTAATCTATTGTTGAATAACACAGTTCGAACAAAGCATTAGCCAGGCACAACCTCTTGTGTTTGATCTATGGCGATCAATTTTACTGGCAGCAAAATGATCACATGGATACGGAAGCTGCTAAAGATACGTACGTCATCAAGAAAGAAACTATCAAAGCAACCAGTAAGCCAACAAATGATATTCCCAAGGGACTAGCCGAGGACATCCCAAAAGTCAAGGCGAATGAGACAATCACCATAACCCCAAAACCCCTGATGTAATCTGATAGTTAGAAAACAAAAAACCCAGGAAATGATTGAACTTTGTGAATCAGACTTTTTGAGAGCATACCAGATGGGGAAGTCCCTATATTTATGGCATACCACGCGGTGAGGGTCAATCTCTTCCGGACTCTTCATCCTCTTCAATAGTGGCCCAATGAGGTGGTAATTGTTTAAGACAGCATGTGAAAGCGAACTTGTCAAATAAACTGAAGTAAGAATCTGGATCAAGTAGAATGTTGCGGTAAAAAATGGAAGGCCCGCTGTTTGTATGAACTGTTCATTGGCTGTACCGTCGGTATTGATCGCCTGCCGATATGGATACGGCTTCCCGTCTGAAGTAAGAAGACTGGCAGACAGGAAGGGGAAATTTTGATTGAGACCAGCACCTAAATTGTGAGGAATTCAAGACCTAATGAACAACTTGGCGGCAAAAATAATAAAAACATGGATTCTATCATGAAGAAAACAAATAGCTGAAATTTCTGACCATGCCATGATTTTGAATAAACCAAAAAGAAGGCAAAGATGGAAATCACCAAAGCCAGTATTTCATGAATCTATGAGAATCAGAAACTTTGTCAATTTGTTAGACGGTAAAAAGCTGATTTTTAAAGCTATGGCTTGGAAAATTCAAATCTTACCTGGGTACTGAGAGGCATGAAAAGTGGGCCTCGCCCCCCTGCCATGGACCAATCTAATGAAATGCTGAAAAGACCCATGCCTTCAAATGGTCGAGCACCACCAAAGATATTGGTTATGAGTTGATTTTTTGGTAAAGTCAAACAAAAGAGGTTGATGGCCTGGAACGCTGGAGCAACATATGTTGGTAGGATCTCGTCTTATCCATTTTAAGGACGCGTCCAACATATTTGATTCGAAAAAAAGAATCGCTTCAGATAATTCGGGTGTCTATCCAGGCAGTTCTGCTAGTTTCTTTTCTCCTTAGATTCAATCAAAGCTAGACTTACAAACTCCAATCGCTAAGAAAGCCTTTTTGAAAAATTGGACTTGGTCATCGGATTTGGATCCCACCTTAAAAAGGGAGTTCAAGAGAGACACACTGGGAAGCGCTTCACTAGAATCCAAGAAGTTTTAGTCAGAAGACAATTTTTTCCAGAGAGGCAGGCGAATGATTTACGGATAAACGGCACGAGAAGGGTAAATCAGAATAGGCTGCAGTAAGCCGGCCCATCCATATGCGAGGAGCTGTGCGCCGACTAAGATCCCGAGAGCAACGCCGAAGTCGATGACCTGGCCGAAGTAGAGCTCGTACACTGCAATCATCTGACGACGCGTGATCACCATAAACAAGCCAAGAAAAATGAGCGTTGTTGACTCAGTCGAATCCCTCATATAGTCATTCCAGAAAATAAATTTACCTCCGCTGGAACTGTAGCCACGCCAGCTGCAGCTGCCATCAGCGCGGCAAAACCTGTCTCTTTCTTGGATCGTATCAAATTTCGATGTCTTTTTAATGAGTCCGAGGCTTATCATCTTCTCCCCCAAGGCCTTCTTTCCTATCGTTAGAAGAATAAAAACTGAAACAGGGTAAAAAATTGCCTACCAGACTGAAAGCTCCTGGATTCCACCATTGTGGGCCAGGTATCAATTCGCAACTTCGGCCAATGATAAACGCTGCTATCTGATCACAAAACACCGGGGTTAAATGAATCATACGCATCCAAGGAAGATTCGATACCTACTCACTTGAAGAAAAGGAAGTTTTATCTGCATATGAACGGGCTTAAAGTAGAAAAGCTATTTGAATCATACAAAATATCAACCATCGTGTGCCTATCCATTTCGCATCAAAAAACAAGTTTACCTGCGTAACTGAAGCTCCTAAAGCTGAAAGAAATACTCCGACCAAAACGGACCTCAAAGTTACGATTGGGCACCCAGGATCATCATGTAACGGTATGATTTCTACATCGTTGTCTGGAATAGGTGAGTTCGTCTTAATATTTGTTTCCAAGCCTTGTGGTGGAAGAACTGGGGACAAATTCAGATCTTGAAGCGATTTACTAAGCGACTGATCGCTCAAATGTAAAGGATCACTCTTCTCTTGAATTTCCATGAGTGGACTTTCCAAGGAACCTCCAACAATCTTTATTGTTTTGTCATCCAAGCTGGATGGAGAGGGGCCTGCTGAGATAATGGGGTTTTGATGAGGGCCATCGACGACAGATGGTGATGGCCGGAACACGTCTACGGGCTGGTTGTCTTCCGGATAGACGGAGGCCATCGGTGCAAGGAGATATTACTTTCGCTTTCTATCAAAGGAAAATGGTAAAATGTCGACAACTGCAGGCCACCGCTATATCAAACGAATATGTTGAGCTGGAAATGATGGTACAACAAAAAATCATTGCGACGCTATTTATACGGCGGCAAGCTGCACCTGGGTTCCGCTGCCATTTAGATCTCCGCGCCTGAATTTTCAAATGATAATCATGATGCACCCAAGCAGAGTACAAATTTTGGAGGCAATCAGGCTGTATGATATCTTTCTCGTCACATGACCTTCTCCTGTGCATCCACCGACAAAGTTTCGCTGAACAGCCATTTTAAATGTCAATTCAGAATTGGTCTTTGGACTTGGAGGTCGTTGAATGATGATTGGTCTCTCCTGGAAAGGTTAGACTTCTGAACACATATCCATCGCATAATTATGCTGCCTAACCATGTCTCCAAAAAGAGACAAATATGAAATTTGGTTTCCCCCGATTACCCCCTCACAAAAGCCTCCGAAGCGCGTCGACCCCCAGGAACTCCGAAGTGAGATCAAGATCCGTGGCTTTTCCACCCGGCTCACTGAAAGAGTGGAATTGAGATGAACAAGTGAGGACTTGCTTTCCATAAACATGAAACCCTCATGTTTAGGGATCATGAATCGGGCGATGCGCAATAAGCGAACCACATGCCTCTTCCAGTAACACTTCACATGCGCGAAGGCACGGCCGGTCCGAGCAGTGCTCAGACTGAGCTTAACATGGCTCTCGCCTACCGGCAAGCAGAGGCGTAAAACGCGACCTTTCTCTCTGTGAGACAACCTCGGCGGGGCTGCCCCCGGGCTCTCTACAAAAACGCGGTCAGGAGTACATAAAAATCACTAGTGAGATTCATGATTTTCTTGCCCCCCCCTTTTGGATCCTTCTGAGACGGTCACTTCTGAGCACAATTTAGGAGTAGACATTCATCATGCACAAGACTTGAGTGCTGTATGAAGTAAAAATGCGAAGCATCAGAGGCCAGTGAGAAATAAAACCGTCACCAAATCGTTGAATCCATTAAAACCACTACCACAACTGAATCCATCAAAACTAACCTCATAACCACTTAAACTATCAAAACCACCACCATCATTGAATCCATTTCCATTTCCAAAATTGTTGTGAATCACCAAAATAGAAGTTCTTATATTTGACAAAGTCAAAATCACCATTTTTGTTGAAAACTGCCAACTTTTTCTAGATTTTCTTCAGGATTGGAGTTGCCGTACTCAGTTTTCACAGCCTGAATGTGTGACTAATTTTTATCCTTCCTTTCCTCAAAAACTCCTGTGGTAGTTACATCAACTCAAACCAATTTGAAAGATCTTAAATAACACTTTGAACTCGGGCTGGAACACACTAACTCAATAACTGGGTAGTTCCTCACCATTATCTTTGCCTTGCCTAGTCCGTCCCCTGATGGGATACACCCATATTCTGATGGCCCATTGAGTGAAATCGGTGAAGCATACCACCAATTTTGGCTTGGAATGAACATGCCGCCCCACTCAGCAATTCACCTCAGCAGCCCTTTCGACGTAACAGTGGGGTTATCTGTTCGACGCGGCACGATTTCAAGGTACGATCCAAGACCAAGCTGATGAAGATGAAGATTCAATTTCAACTGCCTTCGCGGTTTGAAGATGCCCGTATGATTTTTATAAAATGAGTTGGATAAAAGAGACCATTAAAACTACAATGAAGATGCTGTTAACTCGATGTTCTTTCGGAAACTCGAGGTTCCCAACTTTGGACCTTAGGAAGTGTGGTAGAATAGGTTTTGAAAGCTCCTCTAGTTCCTGTGATATTCTCAACGTGTGGCTACAACAGATTAAGAAAAAATACGTTAGCAATATGACACGACTTATTTTTCAAACAAAATAGATAGGGCGGTGATTGAAAGGGAGGGAGGAGTAGAAAAGGTAAAATATGATTACCATTTGCCAAGATTGTCGAGATTGAACGACGATGGGATCCAAGTGAGGGGGATCTTTACGGATATGTTGTAGCCAAGAATGCCATTCTGGAGAGACCTGACTCGCATTGAAATCGTGAACTTTGTAATCTACCCATCGATTTCTAAACATCGATTCACTAGGGTCTTGGTAATATTTGTTCCCGTGTCTGTATAAGCCATCCCGAGGAGATTTAAAGAGAGAATTGAAAAAGACATGATATCAGTCGATCAACGGATAGCGAACACGTCGTCAAGGTCCCGTCGTAGACAAATGTATTTTTTTAAGAAGCCAAAAATCAATTCCAAGCTATTTTGAAACTGTATTTGAGACGAAAAGAAAGCAAACTCAACTCGTCAGAACCTCTGAAAGCTCCGGGTTTGGGGTCGCAGATGTACCACAATTGTCTTATGTATTCCTAGGCCATTGGAGATGGAAAAAGAGAATTCTTAATCAGAGAAGAGAGCTTTTCCCATTTGAGGATAAGTATTAAATCGATCACCCACCCTAGGACCGAGAGCCAGGAAGTTTTTGATCGTTCGAGCGAGACTTGGGGTGGCCATCCTACTAATCGAATATGGTGGTTGTCGTTGGAGCGCAATTCTCTGGGCGCAACAAGTCTGGCTATGGGCCAGGACCACGGGGGGTCTGAAAAACTTGCCCGATCCGGATGTCAAGTCGCCTTAGTGTGACTCGGCTGCGGCTCAGCCAGCCGGACTCCGGGCCACACTTGCCGGAATCCACACTGATGACCGACTAGACGTTCCTAGCTGCAAGTTTGACACAACCAATCTGCACATTCCGAGCCTAAAGTAAGTTCCTATGTACATCCTTTTTCCTGTTATGTATGATTCACCCATCTCGTTGACTGCCATTTCTGATCTTGCTTCCATCAGGTTAGTACAATGGATCAACTACAAGTTCGTGCTTCGGGATTCGATCAACACGAGATGGCTGGTCAATGCCAACGATTCCTAGATCTTCATAGGCATCTTGTCGACCCAGAAAAAGCATTCCACGATTTCTTCGATGTTGTCGGATGTGCGTATATCATCCATACCGGCTTTATTCGCCTTCACAGTTAATCATTTACCTGTTGACCGTCCTAAGTGAAAACGATCGAGGAGCATCTCGACCATCTTGAGACGCTGTGCAGGAAATTAAAACAAGACACCGACGATTTTAGTAGGCTCTGGTGTCAACTTCTCGAGAGGGATGCGACTTTCAAAAACATTCAACTAATCTGGGAAACCGAGTCTGACCGATCCCTTGAAGAGAATATCTCCCAACTTGCTTTCCTTCAGCAGTACCCGAGACTTTCTCAAAAGTTTCACGCGACTCACGAGCAAAGAATCCAGGCACTGAACTCTTCCACCTCGCTGGAGGCCGAAGCACTCTTCGTATCAACAGGATCGACATTTGATCAAGAAAGTACAGCTGCCCAATGGCAGCGTTTCCTAAATCTTCATCCGGAACTAGTCCACCCAGAAGAATCATTCAAAGATTTCCTGGATATTGTCGGGTGTACGTCCAAGTTCGTGCTATTATTTTGGTCTTCTTATAAACTTACCCACATCTTGACGATTCCAAGTGAAAACTCTCAAGGAGCATCTCGATCATCTTGAGAGTCTCTGTGAGACTTCAACCCACGTATCAAAGACTAAGTTTGGTCGACTGTGGAGCTCACTTCTCAACAGGACAATGAAATTCGATGTCATGCAATTGGGCTTGGGCACCGGATCGGATCAGTCTCTTCAAGCGCACATTTCTCAACTTGCTTTCTTGCAGCAGCACCCAGGGATTTCTCGAGATTATGAAACCACTCATCATCAAAGAGTTGAGGCACTGGACTCCTCGACGTCTCAGGAGGCTGAAGCATGTTTCGCGCGAAGACCAAACTATGAAACTCTGCAAGGCGAAATCGTGGCAGAAGGATACGATCGAACGTACACAAATGCCGAACGCATAGTGATTCCGACGCTTAAGATTCTCCAAGATTTTGCCGCTGCTTGGTTACCTGCCAAATACGTGGCTCCTTATACAGCACTCATCGCACCCTCGCTGAACGGGAAAACTCGGCTATTGAAGGAGCTATCGAGACATATTTGTGTTGTGTATATCTGTATCCGCCCCGACAAATCAACTGGATACCCGCCGCGATCCGAATGGGCTTATCGCATACTAATCGACGTAAAACGAAAATCCCTCGAAAAACAATATGATCTATTGCTGCTTGCTATCCTGCATGCCGTGGCCACTTTCTTTGAGAAACAAAAAAGTCAAATGGCTACAAGTGATCGAATGGAATCATGGATCAATCATAGCTTTCCCAAAAAGCATCGAAGCGGCGACCCACCCTTTTGGCTAGATGTCCAGAAGCAAATGGAGAGTCTTACAATGCTGTCTGAGAAAGAGAGTGCCGGACGCTTGAAGGACGCATTAAGCAGGATGAAGAAGAGTACCAGCTTCTTAGGACCAACCAACCTTAACCTGCTTTTGGCAATTGATGAAGCCAGCCAATTACTCTACAGCAGCGAATCGCCTGACGATTGGACCTTTTTCCGCATTCTCCGACGCACGCTAGCTAAAATACCATCAGCAAGCGGGGTTTTTGCAATCCTTGCAGACACTACTTCTCGAGTCTCTAATTTCACTCCACCGGGACACCTGGACCCCAGCCACAGGCCCGGCAAGCCTGGGCTAGCGCTTTTTGACCCCATATATCAGATTGCCACCTTTGATACACTTGTCTCTGCTCCGCCCACAACATGGCAGCAACTGCAATCAGCATTCCGACTCCTCCGCTATGGCAGCCCTTTTTTTGGCGTGTATGTCGATGTTGCCAACGAAAAACAAGGCGCCACGGGAATCGTGCAAGACTTGATCCATTTTGCCCTTGAAAAGCTTCTTGGCTTGACAGATAGGTCTATCGACCCTTCTTCTCTGACCGATTCGCAAGTGATCGCCTTACTTGGCTCCACCATACAGCCGCAGCTGTATGGAGCGTCACATCTGAATGTCCGTCTAGTTGCTAGTCATGCTGCGCAGTGCCTGTTTATCGACCCATCGCGCCAGTTTCTCATAAGTGAATATCCATCTCAAATTACTTTTTCCTCAGCGGCC